ACACACACACACACACACACACACACACACACACACGGCCATCAGAAAAAGTGTCGTGAACCCACTCCGTAAAAATATAATTATCTAATTATTCCAACCCAGCAAATAACTGACTTGCTCTCCATTCTCTTCAACAATTAGAACATTATGCAGTTTGATCCGCGCGCCCTCTTGATCGAAAGGTGGAGGTGACCTATGACTTGTTTTGCTCCCACATCGAAGGTACAATGTTGTAACGTTATGCAGAAATTCCCGATACAGCCCAAAGTACCCCTCCCCGCTTCCTAATCTTTCCTCCTTCGCCCCCCTTCCCCGCCCCTCCACGATCCAGGAGCAAGCCTGCGTCGGTGTACCAGTCATAACAACCTGTACAGGTCAATCGCTTTCTCACCCGGCCGAGGGTGGGGTGTTGGTGGTGTCGGTCAGAGATCAAGTCGCTTTGAGCGAAACAGGAACAGAGCGCTTTGACGTTGAGGGACAATTCTTTTTGTGAGCAAGAAACCACCCGAGGGGCGAGCGACACAAATCGTAAGTGTCCCTAGTGGATAGGAATGCAGAACCCTAGCTCCCTGCCTTAATTTTTTCTTCTTTACTGATGGACAAAAAGTTTGCTTCGTTCTCTCAAAGAAAAGTAAACATAACATCGTTAGCTTAGAATTAATTACAAAGTTCTATCATTTTTGGCCCTTTTGAGTTACTAAGATCATAAGGTCAGAAACCAATATATATTATATCTGCTCTATTACATTTGTAAGATTATACGGAGTTGTTATCAAGATATTCTAAGAATTGCATTCGAAAAAGATTGACATAATAATATGAAACTCAAAATTCTTAACGTCAAATTTATCAAAACCAGGCACTGAGTAGATGCAACTTAGTAATTCTATTGTAGCGATATGTAGCTGGATGCATCTCTGCTAGCCGAAGCTGCTTGCTGTATTTAAATTGTGACAATGGGAGCGAAAAGCTCAGTGTTGAGTAATGGTAATAATCAGTTGTATAGTCGGTGAGAATTGATACCATTTTGTGCATGATCATGCCCATATTAAGTGTAGTTCACATTCATACTACGTTGACCTGTGAGTACTCAAGCGTGAGAGTGTGTTTGTGCGTGTGAGAAAGCTGATATATGTACGTGTTTGTTTGTGTATGTGTATGTTTGTGTGTGTGTGTGTTTTTTGTGTGCGCGCACGCGCGCGTGTGTGTGTATGTGTGTGTATGTGTGTGTATGTGTGTGTGTGTGTGTGTGTGTGTGTGTGTGTGTGTGTGTGTGTGTGTGTGTGTGTGCGTGTGTGTGCGTGTGTGTGCATGTGCGTGTGTGTGCATGTATACATAATACTCTCCTTCTATGTGGCTCGGTCTCAGGGGTTCTGGATGTCATCAGTGGGCCCAAATCTCAACTTGCTTAAAAGTGTGTTGTTGAAACGAGTATCAAACTCATACTCTACAATAACAGCCTGAGTATGTCGGTTCTGACACTTAATGTTTTTTTGTTTTCATTCGTCTAGCCGCCATGTCGAGGAAGGAAGGACCTGCAGACCTGAACCTGCCGGACGGCATCAGAACTCTCTACCAACGACGCTACAGCGCGCCCACAGGCGTGGATTGGTCCAGACCTGGGGAAGTGGACGTGAATGCCCACGTGACTCGGCGTCACTCTCTAGCGAGTGTGGGTGAGCTCAGGGACACGTCGTCACTGACGGTGAGGTTATGCGTTGAGGCGTTACTCTCTGGGAGCCCTGCCACTTCCCAGAAATTGCCATGCCCCCAGAGTGCCAGGGTCAAAGGTAAACCTGTAACTGCTATCGGATCGTGGTTCGAGAACCCCATAACACACAGAAAAACTCAAAGACGCTCTTTCTCTTCCAAGGTAAGTCAAATCACTTCACAATCAAGGGATCAACAACGAAGCGTTCGAACGGACAGCAAAAAACGGGCCCAGTCAGGGCACCCCGCAGGTTCAGGCTTTGAGGTTTGTGACGTAAATCAGACATGTGATCCCACTGGCCAATCGTTGTTTTTTGCACCGCTAAAGCGACCAAGTCAGTATGATGATCTCGACCAAGAAATATTACCAAAATGTTCGTATCGACTACGACCTAACGGAGCGATAGCGTCCGAGCTAGCTGGACACATTAAATTCAACGACTCTAAAATAACTGA